ATGTTTGCGGCTAAACGTAAAATTAGAGAAGCCATAGAAATAAACCGAATAGGAAATACCTTGAATGTAACGAATACCGGTAAGATGGGGGTAACCTGTACATACAAATACAGACAGACACACTCACATGCATAAAAGTTGACATAGACCTTAACTAACCAAATCACCTTATACTTGATCAAATAGGCCAGATGTAGAGTATATATACCACTTTCTAGGGATTTGCCGGTGAGTTTTCTTGACTCGTAAGCTTGAATTTTGTTGTGCCGATGTAACCTCGCTCTGATGATGTCCGTCATATGATGGACGAAAGCTCAGCACGTGTTTCGATAGGGCTGGGGTGGATTAGGTGGAGAGTAGACAGATGGGCCAGGACAAAAAAGAGCATGACAAGACTCACTGACGATGCCGGCTAAGCTTCTGGGAATGTACCAAGTCCACTGTCCGACACAGGGAACATCGATAACTACTATAGCAGAGGACTTCGGACAAGGTGGATCCAACTCGATAGGCAGTTTAGTGGTGTCATCACACCTGGTGCTTGCCTTGCCACCCCCTCTCTTTATCTGCTGACCTGACTCAAGGCCCCCATCGTCGGCAAGTAGATCCATATTTTATCTCTCAGGCTGACTGATTTTACTCGGTTAGTGCCAGTATACGTTTTACCCGATACCCTACTTCACAAGCATTTATAGGCACGCACTGTCTCCTAAATTGATTTGTATGTGTACAAGCTTACATCCCATTATCTCAACCAAAGGTGCAATCTGGGTCATGTTTTTCCTTGGGTCATTAAGGCTTGGTAGGCTTTTGTAATTACTATGGTTTAAGACCAGTGTTGCATATCAGACGTTGACACCTGCACGCACAGACATCTAGTACTATGAATACTGTGAAATATAACTAGCCAAATCACTCTACATCTGTCCATATCTATATATTTTCTATTTCAGTTGAGTATATATAAAATGTAGTATATAGCCGGGCAGCCTTTTTGAATTCTCTGAGGTCCATCATGACGGACAAGAGCCTATTCCAGTCAACCTAAATTTCGATTTAAAACCAAACTGGAGCTGCGAAATAGGTGAATTAAATGATACATTATAAACTATCCATTAGGATTAACAAATAATTACTATCCAATAATCATAAACAGTGATGTAAAATAGCAAAACCCACCCTTAAGCAACCATCCATATCATAGGATTCATTATTAAGATGGAAAAATATTAGGTACAAGAATTGAGCTGGACTGTATTCAGCCATCTGTCCTCTCAGGTTAATATACTAGTGGGGTTTTCGGTAAACTACGGCCGCTCGCTTTGACAGACGAAGGCTGAGCTCGGATGCATCGAAGTCGCAGGACGTTGAACCGAAGACACCTTCGTACAATTCAAGTCTTCA